TTGCAAGATGAACCAGAACTGCGCCGGGAGGTGGTGGCTGCATATTCCTGCCGGAGACCTAGCAACAATGAATGCATTTTTTATTTCTTTGATTGTATTTTCAAACACTTAACATTTTTAAAAAGTTAAGTAAATGATTTAAGTTTAAAGGTGTAAAGTACAAAGACAAGTTCCTTTTCTACTTCTAGACACCCTTCTATGTGAAGATATATAAACTACATCTCAAAGTTATTTTTAAACTAAATACAAATGTACTATTTGTTTAATTTCAAGATTTCTTCTATCTAGAGTCTGAGTAACAAGGTAAAGCCATAAATTAAAACAAACCAAAATCCAGTTCTACTTTACACACAGAAACCCAAACGTGGACTGAAGGAACACCGAGGGAGAACTCCTATGTAGGCAGTGAGCAGAATGTATTAGTTAGCAAACAAACCTTTAGATTGAAGTCATAATGGGGGGTGGGGAGGAATCTAAGTACATCTTCAGCAAGTCCTGCTAGCTACTGGCATCCGCTAAAGGGACCTTACAGTCAGAATCAGTTCTTCATGTCATTTCTTTATGCACAGAAACTGCTATCGAAGGGGCGAGAACTAGGACATCTTTTAAGGCCACAAATCCCTGGAGAGTAGTTCAGTGAAGAGCACACAGGAGGTGAATCCCCACGAACTACAAAATAAAGAAGTAACCCCTCCAAAGTCTTAGAACTTCTAGGTTCATGTGGCCCTGTAGGTCTGAGAAGCATGGTAGTAACTGAGTTACTTATTGTCCAGCTACAGCAAACAGCAGTAAGAGAAGCCAGCAAGCGATAGAGAGCAGTTTTAGAAATGGAAGTCAGAGCCCAATGCCTCCTCTCCAGTAATGAAGGAGAGCTTTAAGTAAGTCACAATCACCACAGAATTTTGATTTCTCACTGTAAAAACTAAGACAATTGACCAGGTATGTAACTGACCAATATGTAATTCTAATTTTTAACTGCTATATACAAATCTTAGAAGAGCCATGCTATAAAAATAAAACCACAGCTTTAAAAAAGGAGAGCAGGAAGTTGTTTTCAAGTAGGCATCATGTATGTTTTGGTATCAACTTTTTATTTACTAGGAAAATAAATATTCATGTGTATGAATGGCTTAGAAAGAACTATTAAAGGACAATAAAGTTAACATTTTTATTATCTGCTACCAAAACACAGCATCAAGGCTACAGTAAATAGCTTGCTGAGCTCTCCACAGAAGTCAGCATCCAAAGTAAAAGCGGAGTTTGTTCTACAGTGTGGAATCAGGCAGCATTCTCTTTAAGAGGCTGTCCTTTCCAGCCTCTTACTGACTCCACCTTTAACTTAATGAGGAGAGACAGAAAATCAAAGAAGAAAGCTGTGTCACGCCATTAGTGTTTTAGGCGAGTCAAGGCAGCACGAAGCTCTTCCTTTTTCCAGGGGAGGCCATACTAAAGTGGAAATGATTCAGTGGATGAAGAAACATTCTGCAGTTGCCTAAAAGCTACAGCCTGATAAAACTTACAACATGTTTTACAAGACATCATGCATCCAGGTACAACCAAAAGCTCTTCAAGTATTAGCCACTGTTAGATTCTGACACAGAATTCACCGAGACGTTGCAGGGATCAGATATAGTTTAGTGTGTTGCAAGAATAGCACCACCACCACCTTCTGCATTCAAAGACAGCCAGGGTATACATCATCAATAAGTATGAAAAATTTTTGTCTATGTATACTTTGGGGGTGCCAGAGGCAACAAAGACATTAGATATCATAGGAGTTTGGGGCTCTTACAGTTCTTGGGCAGATAGAGAGTGTAACTATGATATTACAATTTCATGGAAGAGTAGTCAACAAAAAAGTACAAAGGCTTCCTAGGGGGCATTACAAACACACTAAAAGCTACAGAGTAACAATGACAAGGATGAGAATTTACCACCTGTAAGGGTACAAACACCATTCACAGAAGCCAAGCCTCAGAAGCCTTTGTCCTTCCTATAGCAAAGCTGTTTTATATAAAACAATATTTGAAAGCAAATACATATGTGGCACTATTCTCTGAAATGTCTACTTCAATATTTATACTTTCACCATCTTACTATTTTTTATAACACTTTAAAATACATATAATAAATTTAATATGTACAACAAACTTGTATAGTAACAAAAAATCTCAATTTTAACAATTAAAACTTACTTTCTTCCTGCATCCGGGCTAGAATCTGCACATCAGTTACATCATTTAGCTTATAGTTGGATCCAATTGAATCTTCATCTAATTCTGAAGCACTTAACTCACTATCTATAGAGGATTGAGGGCTGAGTGGAGGATTTCTATCTGATGAACTTTTGAAGTTACCTTTAGAAAAAGAAGAACACATCAAACCTTGGTAAGAGAAAAACTGAGTTAAACATCTGTTGCAAGTAGCCAAATAATTACGTCCTTTGATTCAGTTCCATTTACACGTACAAAACTCTCAAAACTGAAATTAGAAACTGACCTCATTAGGGAGAAAAAGAAATATAGAGACTCCTTTACATACTATGTCACAAATACAAAACATCTTTTAAGTATAACTTACCTCGTTTCCCACAAAACTATTATATAGCTTTCAGCCAGTGCCTGCAAAGCAGCTGATTCGGTACCTATAGGCTAGATCAGTGGTTCTCAACCTTCCTAATGCTGCGACCCTTTAATACAGTTCTTCATGTTATAGTGAGCCCCAACCAAACATTATTTCTGTTGCTACTTCATAACTGCAATTTTGCTACTGTTATGAACTGTAATGTAAATATCCATGTTTTCAGAGGGTCTTAGGAGACCCCCATGAAAGGGGGGTTAACTTATAGGTTAAGAACTGCTGCCCAAAGGGGTCATATAATCTACAGGTTGAGAACCACTGAGCTAGAGGCTTTCATCTCTTTACAAGATACTCAGGGAAAACATTCTGTAAGTAAATGATGTAGTGTTTTCTCCTTTCAAAGTCAGTCATTAGCACCATAATCTTCTCCTTGAAGAAAAAATTTATTTTCTTAAAAAACAAAACTAATTTGAGAAAAGCAGATTTCTTGCCGGGCGGTGGTGGTGCACGCCTTTAATCCCAGCACTGGGAGGCAGGCGGATCTCTGTGAGTTCAAGGCCAGCCTGGTCTACAGAGCAAGATCCAGGACAGACACCAAAACTAAACAGAGAAACCCTGTCTTGAAAAACCAAAAAGAAAAAGAAAAAAAAAAAAAAAAAAAAAGAAAAAGTAGATTTCTTAGACATTTGAGAACCAGAAAAAAAAGAACACTAGGTCAATTTGTCCTACATGATGTCATGCTTGCCAAATTAGAAAGGAAAATCCAGAATGTTCTGACGTTTGATAGTGAAGTGCAATAGATGGCAGCAAGAAAACAAGAAGAGTTTTCAAAGGCACTCTCTCGCCTAGACCAAGCGGAGGACAGGAGACTGTGCAGGGACAAGGAATGCACACCGGCAAGAACCTGGCGTGTTTCCCAGGGACACTTTCATGGGGACCCGTTTCTGAAGAAGTGAGAAAGGCTCAACACTCTCCCCACTAAGATGTCTAATACAGACTAAGAACATGCTGCCAGTTTGTAGCGAAAACAAATCTGTTATTTACTCATGTATTTATCTATATTTTATGTGCACTGTTGTTTTGCCTTCATGTATGTCCGGGTAAGGGTGCTGGGTCCCCTGGAACTGGAGTTACAGACAGCTGTGAGCTGATATGTGGGTGCTGGAAATTGAACAGAGGTCCTCTAGAAGAGCAGTCTTAACTGCTGAGCCATCTCTCCAGCCCTGTAGCTTTTTTTTTTTTAAAGACAGGGTTCTACTTTGTAATATAAACTGTTCTTGAACTTACTATGTAGCCTAGGCTAACCTCAAACTACCAATCCTCCTGCCTCAGCCTCCCAAGTGCTAAGGCTACAGTCCATCTAGTTTTCCAAAATTTTCACTATTATAGTTAACTCCCCACAAGCACAGTTCCAGACCCACCTGAGATCCCTCTTTGTTCAGGAACCACTTTTGCGAGTAAGTAGCTGAATCCCTTTCTTATCGCCCCCAACTTGACCCTTCTGTCTGTAGCAACCTCCACACCCACGGGCCTACTTCCAGATCAGTGACCTACTTTCTAGAGAGCCACCACTGACCCTCCTTTCTTACCCATCCTTCTCTCTGCCTGCTGCCATTTCTGTGCTCAAAGCCCTAGTTCCAGACCCATGTTTTGGAGACCATCTTTGCAAGGTCAATTAAACAGCTCATCCATCACCTTTACCTAACCTAGCTCAAATCACACATTTCTTACACTGGCCCAATCTAAGGAAGGCCAGATTATCACATCAGACACAAAAACAAAGAAAGAAGTCCACATGCTCAACTCAAACTGCAAATACAAAAACATGAGTGGGCAAGACATGTCTTCCTTCAAACCCACTAAAACTATGCAAGTGTTCTCGAACGAGAGCTTCCTAGGTGAATTCCAAGACACAGAATTTAAAAGGAGAATCATAAACTTTATCAACGGATTAGAATTTTAAAGGCACAAACACTTCATTGACCTCCAAGAGATTAACAATAACAGAAGAAAATAAATGCATGGCTGTATGAAAAGACAAAGATAATTCAGGATTTGAAAACTGAACTCAACAAAGATAGAAGCATTAAAGAGAACACAAGCTAAAATGAAGATGGAATTGAAAAATTCAGTATTCCAGTTAGAAAACTCTGGAAAGCCTTACAAATAGAAATGAATCAGGCAGAAGATAGATATCAGGACTTAAAGAAGAGGATCTAAATAAAAATAAGAACATGAAAAAAATTATACAAGCACAGAAAAAGAACATTCAGGAAATGTGGGACCATCAAAAGACCAAACCTTTGAATTACAGGCATAGATGAGGGAGGAGAATCTCAGGGTCAATGACATAAACCAGATTTAACAAGCTCATAGAGGAGAACTTTCCAAAATAAGGAAAGACATATCCATACAGAGACAGGGAGCACATAGAATCCTAATTAGACAAAACTTCAAACAACAACTACAACAAAAACTCCATGGCATAAATAACTCCTTAGTGAATGATGAGTGGGTCTAAGGAAAAAAAAATCAAGAAATCAAAATATTCCTGTAACTAAATGAAAATGAAAATAAAAACACAATACAACAAAAGCTCTGTGACACATTAAAAGCAGTCCCAAGAGGCAAGTTATAGCCTTAAGTGTCTACATTAAAGATACATGTCTTTTTTTTTTTTTTTTGGTTTTTTTTCGAGACAGGGTTTCTCTGTGTAGCTTTGTGCCTTTCCTGGAACTCACTTGGTAGCCCAGGCTGGCCTCGAACTCACAGAGATCAGCCTGGCTCCTCATTGTGTTTCTTCAGTCATCTTTGTGCACCTGT